AATTTAATCCTGCCGACATGGGGAGTAAATGTCTCTCTGTCGAAAAGTTGCTATCGTGCAAGCGCACGTTAAACATTGATTGCGGTTAAGTTGCCTGGTGATCTTACCCCTTTGCCTGAATATGTCTTTGTGATTATTCGGGCAATCCAGCAATGATGAGTCTCAAATTTGTGTTAGAGCTTTGACTCTAAACCACTATGGTCCAATAAGGTGGAGAATGTGTTGGCATTGGCCCAACATTTCTTTAAGCCCAATTGCATTTGAGGAGGTTCCGGCCCATTTGGTTTTTTACCCGACCCTTGCCTTGTTCGCACAGCCCCTTTCTTCTTCAAACTTGCGGAACTCTTTCCTTCCTTTGACGGGCACTGCGTATCTCCTACTATGGTAAGTTTCCATATCTAATTCCAGTCCTTCGCCTATTTAAATCGCTGCTTCCCGTTTGTGTGAGTAGGCTGAAACACTTGCTTCTCTGATTTCCGCCTCTCTGTGGGTGTTCGGATAAATTGGCCGAAAATAGCCTGCTGGCTGACACCCCCTCTTTCCCCTTAGTGACTATAGTGGTGTTCTTCATCCTTTGTGGGTGAATCTTGGACGAGACCTGAGCTGGATTCAAGTTTCTACAATATACATAAGACACACAACATTATAGATCTTTATTATGAGAATAGTTAAATACCTTACACATGAAGGTATATTCTCTCTTGCTATTTTTCATTTCCCTAAATTCTTTCTGCCAAAGAAGCTCCATTTGAAGTCATTATAGTATTCTGACCTGTAATGGTGATTGAGAACTTGTAGGAGATGATATTCCAGAAGTGGTAAACCGCAAAACAGAAGCTAAAAAAATTCATTAGAGTATGTAGGCTAATAAAATTCCTTTAACCTTAGATAAGCAGAATAGTTGAGTTTAAGTCTGCTAACATACTAATCAAACTTAAAGTTTCTTAAAGTACATTAGCTACCTTTATCGGGATATATGGAAACCATAGTTTTAAGCCCTTAAAAAGCATCTTAAATACATATGCAATACCTAGAAGTATAATTGAAATCCCTAGAAGTATAATTAATGGTTTAACTTCACCAACATGGTACATTTTTCGTGTTGGTATGTGTTAACAAACATAACAAAAAGAAAAGGACATTGTACAGTTCAATGAGTTCATTGTCTCACTTTTAACAATTAGAGTAACTTACTAAACTTAGGGCCTGCTGAAAAATTTGGTTAGCATAAAGTGTGAACATCTCTGGCTAGAGAATCCATTGTTTCATTCAAGAAGCATTAGTATTTTTAGAATTCTAGAATTCTTAACAAATTATATTCACAATAAGCTCTCAGTCACATTCTAGCCAAACAATCTTAATGCAATATCAAGATAAGCAACTAATATATATTTCATTCATTCCAAATGAATGGCAGAATTTACTTGAAAACACCATGAAGGCAACTAAACTCATTTCAGCAAGAATGTGAAAACAACCCTAATACAATTTCCTCCAAACACAAAAAAATGCTACTTTTCTCATTTAAAAGGGTGAAAAAGTGAAGAAACTTGGAGAAGAGTATGTTGAGGCTGCATAGAATCTGCCTTCAAAGTAAAGAAGGTGAAACAATGAAAATATGAGCTTCAAAAAAAATGAATTGAAAATTGACTAAATTCAAATAAGAGAAAAACGCATAACCTTTATGAAATCAGAATCCATCTGGGAGCTTATCCTTCATCTTCGACCTTGCCTTGACAGCTTGCTGGAGCAGAATAATTTTTTGATGCGGAATCTCCTTCAATCGTATTTGAGAGAGGTGGACTGGTGCGGGCGAATAGAAGCGACGAAGGTTAAGAGGTGCGGTGGTGCGAGATGATATTAATCGGTTGAAGGAGGGAAGATTCCTCACTCCCGGTGACTCCGGCGACTGGTAATCGTTATCTAGTCGGAGGTGAAGAGGTATGGCGGTGGCTGCTTGGCGTGGCGCTGGGGTGTTTGTAGTTCGCGGGTGATGCTACAAGCCACAGATGAGAAGGCGGATGAGGATGGGGTGACGTTGATTTTTAGGTGCAAATCGGACGGTTGTAATATGAGAATGGTTTGGACGGGTTTTTGGTTTTTGGTGTTGTAGTGCTATTAAGGAGAGGATTATAGGTAGGGTGATAACTTACATACTACGTATTACATAAGTGCTAGATGAGCTCGAACACACTAGTAGCCCATGTAAAATAACTTAAGTACAATCAACTCAAATACAAAAAAAATAAAACGTGATTGGACACCATGAAAAAATGCTCTAACGGTTTATAGTTTTAAAAAGTAATTTTGTAAAGTCGTTTTTGAAAAGCGCTTAATAGTAAAAGCGGCAGTGTTTTAGAATAGAAGTGATTAAAGTAAAGAGGGAAAGGGGCAAATAAGCCATCGAACTAACCGAAAAAGTGCAAATCACCCCTTTTTTAGGAAGCTATGTCCAACCATCACCATTTGAGGCGGTTTACAGTGTAATTTTTTGATGATTTTTTTGAGCATCTTCTTCGTTAAGTCTAGTTTACCCATACCAAATTTCAGCTAAAAATTCAATCGTGAAGGCAATCAAATAAATGTTTGAAGATAACTGCGCAGTTAAACAGTGCAGTATGTTTCAGAAAATCATTTGACTGCTTTCCCGCTTGAATTTTTACCTGAAATTTGGTATGAGTAAACTAGACTTAATGAAAAAGATGCTCAAAAACATTCATCAAAAAATTAAACCGATAACCGCACCAAATGACAACGACCAGACAGAGCCTCCAATAAAAGGGATGATTTGCATTTTTTCGATTAGTTCGTGGGCTTATTTGCACCTTTCCAAAGTAAAAAAAGTGATTGTGAAGTGATATCTTTGTAGAAGTACATGAATGTCCTTGCCTTCATAAATTATACACACGGTGACACGGTTCATATATATTGTTTAAAAAAGGAATTTTATCAATTCAGGACCTGAAAGATAGATGAATTATCAATCTGGAACCTGAAAGATGAAATGTATCGATATAAAACATGAATGATGGAAAACTATCAATTTAGGACTCGAATGATTGGAAATTATCAATTTAGTACCTAAGTTGTCCGATATTTTATTAATTTTTATCTTAAATTTTTTAAATATTATTTAGTTTTATGAAACTAATAAACTTTTGTGAAGAAAAGTTTATCAAAAATTAGCAATGGAATTAATAAAAAATTAAATAAATCAAAACCTATGAAATTTTAGGTCCTAGATTGATAGTTTTTCATCATTTAGGTCCTATATCGATAGATCTCATCTTTCAGATTCCGAATTGATAATTCATCTATCTTTCGGGTCTTAAATTGATAAAATTCCTAAAAAAATGTAAATACGAAGTACTTCCTCCGTTCCATAAAAGTTGCAACATTGAAATTTCTGCACTGTTCACACACCTTACTTTGATTACGGTTTTCTAATAATATATATAATAAAAATATTATGTATAAAATATTAATAAATTTGTATTAATGTAAATTTTCAATATGTTAACTTTTTTAATGTTTACTAATACGTAAATAAATATAATTACAGTCAACGTTGCGCGCTGTCAAACGTGAAAGTTGCAACCTCACAGCACACCTTCTCTGGTTTTGGAGCTCAAGCTTTCTAGATTCAGCAAACCCGGTGTAGAGATGGAGACAACTTGAGCTTTTCCGTTGGACAGGCCTTCACGTTTCAATTTACCTATCGGGGATGCTCGGCGAGAGAGAGATGGGGAAGACAAATACTTCAGCTGTTTTGAGCAGATGAGAATGCAGATAGAGAGATCAGGGATGTTTCAGGGGAAAAGGTGATGAATAACACTATCCTCAAACTTGTATCTATTTACAACTAATCCTAATTACACTAAGTACTCCTATATTGTTCCTCAAAAAGGTGGTCTCCCATCTCAAGAGTCCCCACCCCGACCCGACAGGATGCTGAGGAGATTAGTCACGGTGACTCATTCAGCAGAATGACAGTAGGCTCATACACCCGTGCGCACCAGAAAACCAACTTTATTTTAGGTTCTGTGACATCCACCGAGTCACTGCGGGGATTCGAACATGGTCCATTGTTCTAAATCTCCCACCACTCAACCAACTAGTATGAAGTACTCCTATAAATAAGAAGAGTCCATCAGACCATCACAAAACATACTCCCTCCGTCCCTTATAACTTTGCCAACTTTCCTTTTTTGAATGTCCTACTAACTTTGGCACTTTCCCATTTAAGTAAAGAATTTGTGATTCCAGTTAATTCTATCTCCTCTGCACAAACCTCAACCACGCAGTTTTTATTTTATTAATACCCATACCTTATCCAGGAATCGAGGAAGGAGGGAGTATTGAGGAAGGAGGGAGTAATTTTTACGGACTACGGACTGCGGAGGATAATAAGAATATAAATTTGGAAGGCGCGACGGAGGGAGGCAGTTAATTCCGATACCCATACTCTCCTCCACCATGACTAAGCAACCGCAGCCTTCAGCCTTTGAAGCCCTCATGTGCGGCGCACGGGCCGCCGCCGCCAAGAAGAGACGACTTTCTACTCCTTCTCCATCTCTGAAGAAGAAGAAAACACAATCCTCCCAAACTGAAGAGCAGTTACCGTCGACTACCAATATTCCCTGCAATGCTTCTCCTTCAACGGAGTTGATCACCGAACTGAAGAAGCGGGCACCCCTTATGAAGAAGAATCCCTCGGAGTTTGATCCGCGCTCTGTTGTTTGTTGGGAGAAAGGCCAACCCATACCCTTCCTGCTCCTCTCATTGGCATTCGACATGATCGCCCGAGAGACTGGTAGGCTTGCGACCACTGACATTGCGTGCAACTTTCTGAGGACCGTCATTCATGCTACGCCTTCGGATCTCCTGCTGGTCGTCTATCTCTTGGCTAACAGGATTGCTCCCCCACACCAAGGGGTGGAATTGGGTATAGGAGATGCTTCCATCATCAAAGCACTTTCAGAGGTTTGTGGTCGGGCTCGATTGCATATTAAGAAGGAGTATGAGGTAAAACGTCTGTTTCATTGCCTTCATTCGTAGCATTCTTCACCTAATAGTACCTTGGTTGTGTGTGTGCGTGCAGGAAAAAGGTGACTTGGGATTGGTTGCCCAAGCTAGCCGATTGTCACAGTCTATGATGCGGAAACCGGAACCATTGACCATTAGGAAGGTTTTCAACACATTTCACCTCATTGCCAGGGTGTGTATTACCAACTTTTCTTACAGCCGTTTATGGATAGAGTGCGTTATTCTCCTCTGCTTAAAGCATGTTAGTTTTGTGATGTCTACACAAACATGGATAGATTAGTGCTTGGTGATGTCTACCACAGTTTTAATTTTTGGCTAATATCCTGGTCCATATGCAGACATGAATAGATTGCTTTAAAAAACATATGATATTACTAGATATCTTTGTCTATCATCTAAGAGGAGGAAATAGGAGTTTATTGCAATTTTCTTGGAACACTTTGTTCTGGAGAGCTAGAATTCTTTTACTAATTTGTTCTCCTGTCCCAATTTTTTGTACAGGAAGTAGGAAAAGACAGCCAAAAGAAGAAAAATAATCTTATAAAGTCACTTCTTGTTGCTGCCACTGACTGTGAACCTTTATATCTAATCCGTTTGTTACAGGTTGAGATTGTGATGTTATTTTGACACAATAATCTTTAGTGGACCTTGTTAATAATTTTTTGGGTCTCTTTGCCTAGAAAAAATTGCGTATTGGATGTGCTGAGCAAACTCTCTTAGCTGCATTAGGCCAAGCTGCAGTGTATGATGAAAAACATTCAAAGCCGCCTCCTGGAATCCAGTCACCTTTGGAAGAGGTAAACGCTAATCTGATTGAGATTGGGAAATACATGGTGCTGAGTGAATTCTATTTTTCTTTTACAACTTTGGTGGGTGCTTGTTTTGCATCAGGCAGCAAAGATTGTTAAACAAGTCTATTCTGTTCTTCCTGACTATGACAAGATAGTGTCTCAATTGCTTACGGATGGTGGTGTATGGGGTCTTCCAATGAAATGTAAATTTACTCTTGGAGTTCCAGTTGGGCCTATGCTGTCAAAAGCTATCACAAGTGTATCTGAGATTCTAAACAGATTCCAGGATGTAGAGTTCACATGCGAATACAAATACGATGGAGTGCGTGCTCAGGTAATGGATTAATCGGTGAAAAATTTCATGCAGATGTATATTTTTCTCCATCATATTTGTTTAGTGCAGTAATACGTTGGTTGATTCTGTATTTAAACAGATACATTACATGGACGATGGGTCTGTTGAGATTTATAGTAGAAAAGCTGAACGGAACACCGGAATGTTTCCTGATGTTGTTGCTGTGGTTTCAAGGTAACCAAGGAATTGAATTTAAGAATACTATTAGTAACACATTACATTTGAGCCAGTTATAACATTCCCTTTCAGCATGAAGCCGCTGCATCGAATTGAACTGTTGAAGTTGTAGGTTTAGTTGCAGGTTTAGTCGTATAATAAAAGGAATACAAATTCAAAATAAATTTATATAGTCACAAGATAATTGACATAGCATTTATTCTGATCTATACTCGTTACCAGGCTAAAATCCTAGCCAAATAGTAAAATAGCTTATGATGGACATATAATGGAAACCAGTCCTTAGAAATAATTTCAGATACTCTAATATTATACATTTATACTCCATATAAAATTGAATAATGTTGTGTTGAAATATCTGTCAGATATTCTTACATGTTCATGGTTGATAGGGACCTACTTATTAGACTAAAAATAGAAATAATAATAATAATATGAATGGTAAGGGTCTGTGAGTATTCTAGTATAAATAGACGGGAAGGGGGAGTTAGTAAGGAGGCTGTTTAGACTTTGAGTCTGGGACTGGGAAGTTGGAGTATTATCTCCTTCTTTGGGACTCTGTACACGGTTTACCCCTTTGAATGAAGTTTTCTGTTTCTGTGATTGACTGTGTTAATTCTTCTGTAATTCATTCTGTATTTCGAAGTTCTTATCATTGGTATCAGAGCGACGTTGATCGCTGGATGAGACACACGCGCGCGAAGATGGAATGAAGAGTCAAGGAGGTTGAGAGAACGTTGACTGACTTCGGAAGAGATCATCGGGAACTGCAGACTAGTGTGGAGAATCTAGCCGCGAATGTAGCAGCGATGCAAGCTATCATGGCGGAATGGCAGGTCAGGATCAACGAGCGATCGAGGAGCCATTCACATCGATCAAATACTTCGCACCGTTCCAATCATCTATCAAATACTTCGCGAACTTCATCTCACAGTTCGCAGTCGCGAACTTCATCTCACAGTTCGAAATCACGAACTTCATCCTCCTCCAGCAGTTCACGACCAAGTCCTACACGATCGAGAGGAGAAGCTTCCCGTTCGCAGATGTCATCGCAAACTGATTCAGCTTCGTCGCGAACAGTAGCTTCCAGTTCGCAATCGCGAACTTCATCTCCCAGTTCGCTGTCTTCATCTCTAGCTTCAACCAGTTCGCAGTCTGGAACCTTTTCGTCTCCCAATTCGTTGCAATCTGTTTCTCCTAGCCTATCTTCATTGGCAGCAGCTTCATCATGTTGGTCAGCTTCACAGCGAACAATCAGTTCGAATTCTCAGATTTCATCGCAAACGGATCTCCCCAATTTGCAGGTTTCATCGCACGCCTCTTCTCACAGTGCTCAACTTTCATCGCTATCAATGAAGTTGATGTCGTATGAACCATCAATCAAGGAAACAGGTCCGGATGATGATTCGACTCAAACTACCGGTTATCCTCCAAATTATCTGGAAGATTTGAAACTGCCTGAGGTGGGTGAAAATGGAATTCGTTCGGGTAAAGTGGAAGAGCAACTGTCAAGGCAACTGGAGGATCAGATAAAAGTCACAACTACTACAGATGAGGAGAAGAGGGAGTCTACTGAGATCGCAATGAAAAAGAAAGCACTGAATAGGTTTCAGTGGGGGAAGGAGCAGACAACTGCTTATACCTGGGAACCTGTGAACGAAACAGTTAACATGACTCAACCAGAATGGGTTCAAAATTCATTTGCACTAATGTTTAGCTTTGAAAGGGTAGGCACAGTATTGAAATTCAGAGATGAAGACAAGAGGGGATGGAAGGAAAAAGGAGAATGTAGGAACAAACCTCAGCCTTGTGTGGAAGAATTGAAAGGAAGGACACCTACCTGGAATGCCGAGGGAGGTACAAACAACCAATTTTTGATCTTAGACTGTTTGTATAATTTCCAGTTTTGGAATGGGGATGAACCTGATGGTGTTCATAGCCTAGTTCCCAAGCATGATGGTCCTGTTTCATTCATGCACACCCTACCCAATTATGGAAAGGAGCTTCAAGGAATCACCAGTTCACACACTGATGTTACTAAGGGACTAATCAAACAGGGATGGATAACAAAGATTGAAAAGCACGGTTGCGTTGTTCGTTTCCACAATGGCGTGCAAGGTTTTATTTCCCAGTCTGAGTTTGGATTAGATCCGGGCTCTACATTAAACTCAAGTTATTCAGTTGCACCAAAGAGGGAATTAGTGGGGCATCTTATTGTAATAAAGAAATTCTGGGACTTCTCGGGTAAGACTGAACAGGAAGTTGGAAGTCAGAAACAGAAACTACTTCAGGAGCCTGGCGGTTCTGATCTTGAAGTTCAGTCACTAGACATGGTGTTGGAACCTTGTTTTGAGAACACGAACTGCTATTCGTTAATCATGTACCAGGACCTGCTGGTGTCCACAACACTTCCTAATGATGACTTAATGAAGATTGTCACATGTGCTGTCTTAAGCTCTATTTGTGTATCTGATCAGCAGACAGCCTCACCCTACAATAGTTCTCCGTACCTGGATGCTGTTGTGAGGCCTTTACAGAGTGACAAGTGGTTGAAAGGGAAAGATGGGTTCCTTGTAAGTTGTAACTGACCTTTGGGAAGCAGAAGTTGGTTGCAACTCAGTGTTTGCTGCCCCAACTGTTTGGATTAAGCAAACAGGAGAAAGAACATATAATTGTGCTTATCAACCTAAGAGCCTAAATACTGTACTTTGTATTCCCTTTAAATTTGTGTCCAAAGAAGATCAAGGGGTTTCCATGATGAAGCATAACATTAGGAAACAAGCACCAGTTAAGGTAATCAAAGTTGTGGAAAAACTAGCAGAAAGTTGGGGTGAAGAGAATGCATACCAGGTGAGGGGATATTGTTATTTGCTGGTGGACTTTGATCAATGTATCTCCAAAGTTTTGGTGGACTTTGATCAATGTATCTCCAAAGTTTCACCTACTGAAGAAGTGTCAACTCTGACTCTGGACCCAATGGCACTGACCAAGCTCCGGGAAGAGGGTGATATGGAAAGAAACAGACCAAAGTGCGAGGGTCCAAGAAATGGAAAAGATAACGAAGAATGTCTGAAAGATGATAAGAAAACAGCAAGGTACTGGGAAGGAAGAGGTGCAAGGATGAAGGGGAACCCGAAGATCAAGGCTGTTTCATATCACCCACCTTGAGGACAAGGTGGTTGTCCAAGGGGGAAGATATGATAGGGACCTACTTATTAGACTAAAAGTAGAAATAATAATAATATGAATGGTAAGGGTCTGTGAGTATTCTAGTATAAATAGACGGGAAGGGGGAGTTAGTAAGGAGGCTGTTCAGACTTTGAGTCTGGGACTGGGAAGTTGGAGTATTATCTCCTTCTTTGGGACTCTGTACACAGTTTACCCCTTTGAATGAAGTTTTCTGTTTCTGTGATTGATTGTGTTAATTCTTCTGTAATTCATTCTGTATTTCGAAGTTCTTATCAATGGCAAAGCTCTTAAGTTTGTAGTGTGGACACATGGCTCAAAATCACCTAAGTTTATATGAAAAAACCAAGAAAGGGGAGGACCAGATGATGGCATGGTGAGGTGCATAGCACCTTATCTTGACCAACTTCCTGGCAGCAGTATTGGGGAGGGAGGAACGTGTGTGATGACTTGGGAGAATTGGGTACTCACATGTCTTTTGAACTATTGTTATCTTTTCTGCTACTGCATTTGATGTCTTCTATTGGGATTTCCATTGTAACTACAAAATATAACTGCAATACATAAACATTTATCTTTATATTTTTTTCCGGTTATTCTAACAGAAAAGAACTCAATGAGTCACAGTGATAGTTGCTTCCCAATACAGTTCTCAACTTCTTAGTTTATTAGTTTCTGATATTCACTCCTTGTGAACAGGTTAAAGAAAACAAATGTATCATCATTTGTTCTTGATTGTGAACTTGTAGCATATGATCGCTCAAAACAGAAAATCCTTCCTTTCCAGGTAAGCTCAATATTGGTTTTGTTTTTTATAAGTTCCGATACATCACTTTATAATCAAGGTTTCAACTCACAATTTTATTTTACCCACAGTGGAATTCTGTTTAGCAACATTTGATATTTTGTTAAAGTAGTTACGTTTAGACCTAGGTTTTATTCACTGAGTCATGGCTGTCAATGGCGCAATTGGTGTGCACCATCAAACGCCAATGGTGACGCAGCACGGAAGCACGAGATTAAACTGATGTTAACCTCGAATTTGATGTTTGAGTGCGCCAGCAACGAACTCGAAAAGTTCCTTCGGAAATCCACCGAAAACAGAGAAAGACTCTTCGTTTTATTCTTATTGAAACATAAAAGTTGTTTAACGTACTTGGAAAGTTTAAATACTATTTGAGTGTGGCTTTTAAGGCCCAACCCAACAAGAACTAAATGAAAGTTTAAAGTGGAAATCAATAAAACATAAAATTTGAGGCCCAAACACTAGGCTGATCGTTCTGCCAGCTCCTTTTCGAATTGCTCAGCAAGCCAATCTGCATCAAATGGTGTTTGTAGTGATCTTCACCGCAAATTCATTTAAGTACTTTCTATTGGTCCTTGGATCATATAACTATATAAGTAGATAATAAAATACCTAAAAACCCACTCATGATAAAGCAAATATCAATGGATATCAAGGAATATACAGCCAGAGTAGCTGTGCAGAAATACAGCAACTAAGCTCATAGTTTTCACGGCGGTAAGGCGAGGCGCAGCGCCAGCAGACTGCCTTATCGCCTAGGCAACTAGGCGCACGCCTAGGTGTCAACTAGGCGACTGGTTGCAGCCTATGCGATAATTATTTATATACATGTATTAATGTATGTATAATGTATCGATTGGTCTAAGTATACTAAAAAACTGCAAAAAAGTATATTTTTGGAACACCATAAACACATAAAGAATATTATATATTTATACTGACTATGCTGCAATAATATATTTACCGCAATAAAACACAACAAATATATTTATAAAATACAAATTTTTATACAACATAAAACATTGTATATGCTACACACAAGTATATTAAGAGACCTGTCTGCCCCAAAAATAATAATTTTCGGACCAGCCACCTGTGATAAGAAAAATCGACGAACAACTGGGAACGAATTGCTTCTGGATCTCGACGGCTTCCTTTGACTGGAGTTGTACACTTCTACTGCATTTTGCCTTTCTGAAAACTCTTGAAATTCGACGTTTGAGCCTAAGAGTCGTACGAATCATCAAGTAAGATTGAATCATTGAACTTTATTTATAAAACTCCGAAATTCCTAATTAAATTGGTTTCCTAAAATTTAATTTCTAAATCTTTTATTTCTGGGCCTGGACTGCGCGTTTAGCCGTTGGTCTCTTAAAATATGGCGTCGCCTTTTCGCCAAAACTGCACCAAGAACTGCACCTCAACGACGGCGTATTCGTCTTGTCTTCTGGCGAGCCGATGGCACCTGGCGCCACTCTTTAGCACCAGGACGCCTAGTCAGCTACTAGGCCACACCTAGATGATGCCGTAACAACCTTGACTACGCCCCATCTGCTACTATCAGATAAGCTGCGTGTAACCACACACAAATGAGAGGATGATGACAAAGGAGTATGAAATGAATGCGGATGGTACACCATTCTCATCAGTTTCAGATGGAGTGGTGTGTGATGACTGATGGTCATATAGATCATATGATTGAACTATAATTCACATGCTTGGATGACTTGAACCTTTTTTGTTGTTAAGATGTTTTTAGTACTATTTGAAGTTTTGAACTTGCCCGAGTGTGTTTTGGTTAGAATTGCCTGGATTGGTTATTTAACTCTATTGCTCACTTATTGGTGGTTGAATCACAGAACTTTCTTGGCTATAGTTTATATTTATACTTGTTTTTATTTGTGTGATGCGGTGACACCATAAATGTTCCGTCGCTGCGGAAAGTTGCCTTGGGACCATGACAGTTGCCATATGCCATGCCAATGTTGAACTGGTATATCATGACAATACTTATGATATTACCCAATTATCTTGACAGGTTCTTAGTACTCGGGCTCGCAAGAATGTAATTTTGAGTGACATAAAGGTAGATGTTTGCATATTTGGTTTTGATTTGTTGTATCTTAATGGCCAAGCACTTCTTCAGGAAAACTTAAAAGTCCGTAGAGAGGTAACTATTTTTTCCCTACCAAATGCTTTATTTTTGTTTTTATTTTCGTTGTTAAGTAGTTAAGTCTGATGATATACTTGGTGGAAACCTAAATGAAGGTGTCTCACATTATAGGCTTCCGCATTATTACCTTTTGGATGGGGTACTTAGACCTAGGGCTGGCATTTCAGACCGAAAAATGGAAAACCAGACCGAAATAAACTGATCCGTATTGGAAAAAACAGAGCTGAACCGAACCGATGTAAATTCGGACCTGAAAAAACTCGATTTGAAATTGGTTACTGTACTCAAAAAATCGGTTTGCACCGAACCAAACTGAAAATATTCATTAATAATAATTAAATTATTAATAATATATTAATTGTTATTTTGTAGTTAATAGTTGGCAACTTTAGCCGACCCCAATATCTTTTGGGACTAAGGCTTGGATGTTGTTGTATGTCCTGAGTTCAAAACCCAGGTCCGGAAGAATATCTCAAGTTTTCACTTTACTTTCCTAAACACGGCCTCCTTTAGAGGGATTATGTTGCTTTATCGTCAGTCAAACATCTTAAACCGTAACGGGAACCTCTCTGTGGGACGGAGGGAGTACATTGTAGTACTGACCGAATGGGTTTAGTGCCACAAGCAAAGGTTGTACACCAGCTTCAGGGCTTATATGGCCTTAAGGCCCTTAATAGTTGAGTCTTAGTTCAATTTTTGCTTTTATTTATGGAGTTTATGGAATATTGGTTTTATATATGGTTTTGGGTAAACCGACCCGAAAAGTTAGTACCCAATAAATCGGTAACCGATTCAGTTTTGGTTCGGTGTCGGTTATAAGTTTTTGGATAACCAAAGTATCTATTCGGTCCTGGGATGCACTGTATCGGTTCAACAAATGTAAGTGCAACAAACATTAATTTCTAGTGGCAGAATCCTCTTAGGGAAAGGGCAGGACATTCTTATTAAAAGTTTGGTTGGGGGATTTCGGAGGAGAGGGAAGGGGAGGGGTCATATATGAATTTTAAATAACTTTTATATTTAGAAAAAAATGAAATAAAGTGAAAGTAAAATAGTATATAAAAAGACATGATCTAACTAATCATATAAGGGAAAATTCCCAAAATAGGACTAAAAACGTTTGAATTTCCAAAATAGGACTGCCATGTTTTTGTTCCCTAAAATAAATCTATTTAGAGAATAAAAACATGATACCCCTATTTTAGAATAGAGAAACATATTTACTCCTATTTAGGGCAATTTCCCATCATATAATTATTTATAGTCTAAAACTAACAAATTCAGATAAATTAGTAAAATAAAAAATCAATACTTCCCTCCCTTTACCTCCAAAATCCCCCAACCAAACTGGCCCTTAAGGAAAGGGCAGAAGGGAGACTGGATTATAATGGGGGGAGGGGAAGAATTTTGATGGGGAAGACGGGGAGAATAAAATTTACTTGTTAGTCCCTTTACATTTTACAATGCATGCAACTATGCAAGGATAGTTAAACAAGGCATTCATATTACCTAAACCTATATTCTCTGCTTTGAACACGACATTAGTTGAACTTTGTGCTCCTCAACTATTTTAACAAATATTAAAAACTTAAATGATAATTTCCCTCACTCCTCTTTCCTCCAACCAAACACCTTGTAAAAGATTTGTCATTTTGGTAGGGAGGCAGTGATCTCTTTGTACTGCTGCTTACCATCAAATTTTAATGTTAAGCAATTGCACATTGAACTTCATATATGCTTGATATAAGAAAATATGGATTACTATATATTGACGAGGGCCTATTTTTCTATCTACAGAATCTCTATGCCTCCTTTGAGGAAGAATGTGGACTTCTTCAGTTTGCAACATCAATGTCATCAAATGATATTGAGGATGTACAGAAATTTCTTGAAGAAGCTGTTAATGCTAGGTCTTAATTGATTTAGTTAATGGTTAATTCGTATAGATATATAAATATTTCAGGTTTTTATTTTTAAAATTATGTGCATCAATTCAGCTTATGTAATTTTTCACATCTTCCAACTCTGGTATCTCTTGCAATAGTTTAAATGACACTTAATATATGATCGGGCTTGTCACTTGATTTGCAGTTGTGAAGGATTAATTATTAAAACATTAAATGAAGATGCAACATATGAACCTGCCAAGTATTCACTGAACTGGGCAAAATTGAAGAAAGATTATCTGGAAAAGTAAGGATGTTATGCTTTTATCCTTGATTATTTACTTTTTAAATCAATGGCTTTCAATTTTGTTAACTGGATCTAGTTTGCAGTGTAGGGGACACACTGGATTTGGTACCTATTGGCGGTTTCCATGGCATTGGCAAGCGTACAGGTCATCAAACACTTTTTAGATGTGGTGATGCTTATATGGGTCAATTATTTCACTTTCCTGTAAACAAACCAGGCTAGGTTCTTGAAGGACTTTGTAGTTTGTACTTCCATTTATTATAAACATGGCTAGAAGTTTGGTCTAAATTTGATGAATTGCAGGAGTATATGGTTCTTTTCTCCTTGCTTGCTATGACAACAATAATGAAGAATTTCAAAGTGTTTGTAAAGTAGGTGAGTGTTTTCAATTTGTCAAGTGATTACTGAATTCTCTTTGTGTATTAACTAAACTTAATTCTTTGCAACACAGGAACAAAATTTACTGAAGAAATGCTAGAAGAACGTTGTGCCATCCTGCGGTCTAAAGTGATTCCCAAACCAAAGGTGTCACTTGCTTTGTTTTTGTCTGAACATTTTGAGTATCCCACTATTAAATTTTTATTATTGTAATTTTAATGGAAATTACCCGATCCCTCATTTCAGGCCTACTATCGGTGCGGCGAAAAAAATATTCCTGATGTTTGGTTTGAAGCCAGTGAGGTAAAAAGATATTTTGTCGGCAATTTCATTCTTTTTATTTGTTCTTATACTAAACTAACATTATTGCATAAGTGAATAATCAATTATACAGTCACTTTTTTTTTTTAAATAATGTATCACTATGCCTTTGTTTTTAAAATTTCCCTGTTTTGCTTCAATGAAAGATCTGAAAGCATTTTCAGATCATGGATATTCATTATCACTTGGTGTTAGCGCGCACACTTAGATCATGGATATTCATTATCGCTTTTGTAATGCTCAGGATGGCATGAAAGATTATAAGCAAACTGTTTCAGCAATGTGACGTTTAAACATTAGATTCCAGAGTCTATTTTTACCAATACGTTGTTATTTCCTCTCTTACTTACTTTGTAAGATTGAGAGAAATATTTAACTTGATTCATTCAATCATCCGGTTACAATATATATAGAGTACAAGACTAACAACCTCAATAATGAGATCCTAAAAAATAGTATCTGACTAACTAGCACTTCTTATCTGATAAGAAGGAACTAATTACATCTAATTACAACTTATCTACTTCTTTTTACTAGGCTGCACATTTCTACACTCCCCCTCAAGTTGGTGAATATATATAATATATCATACATTCCCCAACTTGTTTACGAGTAGTTCAAATACTGGCTTGAACAATCCTTTTGTTAAAATATCAGCCGTTTGATCCTTGGTAGACACGTGTACACACAATTCCAGCTTCAATTTTTTCTTTAATAAAATGTCTATCCACTTCAATATGCTTGTTGGTTCGATCATGTAGGACTGGATTGTGAGCAATGCTAATAGCTGCTTTGTTATCACAATACAGCCTCATAGGCAACTCCAACTTCATGTTTAATTCTTTGATCACCCTCTTGATCCAAAGAAGTTCACATATACCATTAGCTATTGATCTGATTATGTGGTTACTACTTCTAGCAACCACATTTTGCTTATTACTTTTCCAAGTCACTAAATTTCCCCATACATAAGTGCAATACCTTGAAGTAGATCTTCTATCATTAATTGATCCAGCATAATCTGCATCCGTAAAGGCCTCAACTGCTCTACTATTGTTCTTTTTGAAAAAGGATTTATATGGACAGTGCATAAACTGACTGACCATACTTAGCGCAAATGCAATATCAGGCCTTATATGTGCTAAGTAAATAAGTCTTCCTATCAATCTCTGATGTTGTTGAACATTGACCGGGATTCCATCTATCTCCTAACTTCTGATTAGGATCAATAGGAGTGTCAAGGAAGTAATTTAACTCTCCAAAAAGATCCAAAACATACTTCCTTTGAGATACAACAATTCCTTTCTTTGATCTAGCTATCTCCATGCCAAGAAAGTATTTTAACTCTCCCAGATCTTTGACCTGAAACTCAGAAGCAAGTTTCTTCTTCAGGCTTTGTGTTTCTCCATGATAGTCTCCTGTAAAGATAATATCATCTGCATAGATAATTAATATTTCAATCTCTCCCTTACTTGAAAATTTTATAAAGAGTATGGTCAGCTTGAGCCTGCTTATATCCTGTTTTTTTAACAAACTGTGTGAACCTGTCAAACCAAGCCCCCCTGGAGACTGTTTTAAGTAATGAAAACTAGGATGTCTTAGTCTATAATGGATTAAATACAACTCATTATTACTGGGGAAAAGCAGTAGTTTGCAGACAAGCATTTCTTTGTCCTCTTTTATTTGATCCAGCCCCTTCTAGGATTGTAAACGAATCGAATAATTTTGATTCGGTTCGCGATTCGAATTCGAAAATGTGTATTCGAATTCGAGTAAATAGAATATTAGAATACGAATACAAATTTGTTTCTTGATTCGAATAGTTTTTGAATACGAATACAAATACTTTGATATTCGATTCGAACAATATTCGAATATATTCGAATATATATATATATATATATATATATATATTCATACAATATATATTACTCCTTATAAATAAATAAATTAAATGTAAAAGTATCAATGACATAATAATATTTATGTACAAAAACTAGTAGGTATTTTGCATATTTTAATTTAAATGTTCTTACTTTGCTAAGTCAAAATATCTTATTTTTGAGTTAAAATTCTTCGTTGATTTATTCATGTTGATATTATATTTGAAGAAGTGACTTGTACGTATATCTTGTTTGGTAAGAAATATAAACTATCAAAATGAGGTAAAAGGCCCAAATTATACATGATAGTTTTAATTATTTTCATAATTTAATTTTAATGTTTTTTGAATATGAATATTCGAATAGTATTCGAACAATATTCGAATATACAAACAAATCAAATACGAATATAAAATAATATTCGAATATTAAATAAATACAAATATTCAACAATTATACAAATACGAATAATATTGTCAAGTATTCAGTTCGATTCAATTCGTTTACAACTCTAGTCCCTTCATCAAAGATATAGAGTCCATCTTCTTCTCTAGCTCTGCCAATCATCTTCTCCGATGCCAGATTCTGAAAACATTATTAGATTTGATTAATTTGCTAACAGAAACAAGATTGGTTAATTTGCTAACAGAAACAAGATTACAGGATAGATTTGGGACATGCAAGACTTTAGAAAGATCAATACATTGAGGACATTTCAACATTTCCTGTTCCTGCAATGGCAAATAGAGAGAGCCATCTGCAACTTTTATTTTCTTGTCCCCTACACAGGGTTTTTATGAAAGATAAATTGGAAGTGGAGGTCATATGGTCCGTTGTACCTGAGTCAACGACCCAGGTGATTTTTGATTTTCAAGAACAAAAAAAAATGATGCAATTTTACCATTTTGAGCAAAAGAACAAGAAGGGTTATCTGAGTTAGGGCTCTTCTAGGTATTTAGAAGCTGTAGAAGTTGCTTGAAATTGACTTGTTGTTCTTGATTAGTTTTAGGCATGGTAGTATGTAGGGCCTTTTCAAATTTTTTCTGTCCTACTCCTAGTGGTTTTCCATGAATCTTCCAACTTGTCTCCCTGGTATGCCACGATTTTTTGCAATGATCACACCAGGGCTTCTTCTTCTCATTCCCTTTGGCAACCATTGCTGAGGACTCTCCTGGATCATCATTATGTACTGGAGTAATGTACATAACCTTTTTTCTACTGTCTTCCATCTTGATATCAGAAAATACCTCTCTGATTAAGCGCAGAGAGTTTTTTCCAAGTATTCTTCCCTTCACTTCATCCAGATCCCTATTAATTCCTGCTAGGAACTCTTGTGTAGCAGAAAAATAAAAATCAACGGGGTAAACCGTTGCCCAGATAATCAACGAAAAATACCGTTGCCCACAGCCAAAAGGCTAAAACCAACTTTTATTCCCAGATGAGCATGAATGAATCCTAACAAGGGGTTTAAATACCCATCTACTAATTCTTAAACTAGGAAACAAAATCCTAGAAATCCTAATCAACTCCAACTAGGAAACAAAATAATAAAGATCCTAATCAACTCCAACTAGGAAATAGAATAATAGAGATCCTAATCAACTTTAAATAGGAAACAAATAATAGAGATCCTAATTAACTCATAATAGGAAACAAATCAGGATAATTAAAAAGAATAAATATTAATTAAGCATCCCACAACCAGTCCACGAAGGTGGGCTCAAGCTCGTCCCCGCCTTTAGTAAACCCACGGAGGCTTTTGCCCCTGTTCTTCCAAGCACATATTTTGCTTCATATTAATTCCACCCCCCTTCGAAAAAACCTTGTCCTCAAGGTTGAAATCCAGAAACCGACTGACATTTGTTCCCGAGGGCTGCCCAGTATCTTCAAAAAAAATTGAGATGTACTCCTCCACAATCCCTGTCTGCTTGGCTCCGGGCAGCCATTCAAAGCAATTGCCCTGAAACTGTGAGTCAAAACGAGCCATCAATGTCTGTGTAAGCTCATCCCATGACATGTCCGGCTTTCGTGTCCGTATCCCGATCAACCGGTATAGGGTTGACCCTTCCATCGCAAATACAAGGGCTGCCGCCTTCTTTCCCAGCAGAGAACAATTCAATTCGAACCGTTTCTCAGCCTTATCAACCCGGCTGATCGGTTCTACTTCGTTAAACGAGGGCAACGTCGTAAGATGGGAGCTGCATAGACCAATTCTGAACGAGGATGCTGCTGTCGCGTCGAGTAAAGTCACCACCGTTGAATGCTCCGCCGTTGGTGGTGCGAGAGTCTTTTTGAGTGCAGCCAATGAGGAATTGACGTTGTGCGGCTGTTCATCGCTGTTGTGCGCAGATACGTTGGAGCTGCCAACCATGTCCGAGCTTGTTTCCATCAAAACTGGTGGAACAAGCGCCTTGTTAAGCGTTGCCAGGGATGCGGCGATCTCTGCCACATGTTGTGCTCCTTTAGGGTTTGAGTTTGCTTGGCCACCATCTCTGACAAACGTTCTTGGATAGATCTCGTCATTCTGGCGGGACGGGATCCGGCAGGTCGGACCAATTCTTGTGTAGCAGAAAAATAAAAATCAACGAGGTAAATCGTTGCCCAGATAATCAACGATAAAAATACCGTTGCCCAGAGCCAAAAGGCTAAAACCAACTTTTATTCCCAGATGAGCATGAATGAATCCTAACAAGGGATTTAAATACCCATCTACTAATTCTTAAACTAGGAAACAAAATCCTAGAAATCCTAATCAACTCCAACTAGGAAACAAAATAATAAAGATTCTAATCAACTCCAGCTAGGAAACAGAATAATAGAGATCCTAATCAACTTTAAATAGGAAACAAACAATAGAGATCCTAATTAACTCATAATAGGAAACAAATCAGGATAATTAAAAAGAATAAATATTAATTAAGCATCCCACAACCAGCCCACGAAGGTGGGCTCAAGCCCGTCCCCGCCTTCAGTAAACCCACGAAGGCTTCTGCCCCGTTCTTCCAAGCCAAGATTTTGCTTAATATCAGGAACATATAAACCCTATCATTTTCTTCTCTTTTTTTGTGTCATGTGAGATCCTTGACACTCTCCCACTCGTCATCATCATAACATTGATCCAACTCTTGCCACAAAGACATTATCTCATTGTAGTAAGAGATGACATCTCTATTTCCTTGTTTGGACTGCCATAGCATGGTTTTTAACCCAAAAATCTGAGAAGAGTTTTCAAGATCAGAGTAAGTTTCCTTAATAGAATCCCATACCTCCTTTGCAGTTTTCATGAACATGTGAGGCTTGGCAATTGATGCATTCATTGAATTGAGAAGCCAGACTGTTACTAATGAATTTTCTGACCTCCAGACACTATACCATCATCACCACTTTGTTTCTCCTTGATTTCACCACTTAGGTATTCCAACTTTCCCTGCCATCAATTGATAGTTTGACAGAATGTGATCATTCTAAGTAATTCTTTCCATTCAATCTATGTCCAGTGATGAGCATAGATGAATGGATCGAGGCCTGATAGTTTGTCATTGAGCTAATTTGGGGGTTAGGGTTACTGGTTTGTGATTGGGAAGATGAGTCAGAGTTCTCGAATTCCACCATTGTGATGTTTAAACTGACCACTCTGATACCATGTAAGTTTGAGAGAAATATCTAACTTAATTCATTCAGTCATGCGGTTACAATATATAGAGTACAAGACTAACAACCTCAATAATGAGATCCTAAAAAATAGGATATGACTACCTAACACCTCTTATCTGATAAGAAGAAATTAATTACATCTAATTACAACTCATCTACTTCTTTTTACTCGGCTGTACATTTCTACATACTTATATTGACATGTTTCTGTATTCTATATAGGTGTGGGAGGTAAAATTTTCTGACCTAACCATCAGCCCTGATTACCAAGCTGCGGTGGGTATAGTTGATTCAAATAAGGTAATAGAAACAATGAACTGATTGATTTGTTCATTGAATCCTGCTTGTTGATATTGTTCAGTTGACAATAGTATTGGACTGTACCATCCTTTTATGTATTCAAAATACTATTGTTGGTGGTGCTTTTGCTTTCATGTATAGGGCATATCTCTTCGATGCCCACGTCCACTTCGGGTTCGGCCTGACAAAACCCCTGAGCAGGCGTCTTCATCTGAGCTGGTATAAAATCTTCATCATCTATCTTGACAGTAAGACACAACACACATAATGGAGATTGAAAAGAGGCATTCATTATCATTATCTGTATTTGAATCCTAACTTGTTGGAGCAGAGGCAATAAGTTTAGTGGTAATTACTTGCTTAAAAATAATTAACACACTAGTACACTATAAATTTATATCATAACCCTCTTAAGAAGGAATAATGAGATGGTGGAAATTGAAACAGTCATGGAAGAATTTGAAAATTTATTTTTTTGGTCACGCTCTAATTAACTTTTTTCAGGTTGCTGAGATGTATAATGCTCAAAAGAATATCCACAGAGTGAAAAGCAACGAGAATGACAGTGAGGAAGATGATTATTGAAGGAAAATGGATTTATTTTTCTCACTAGGTAATATTCTTGTTTATTAATTATCATTGGGTTTCATTTGAAGGATTATTTAAAAGATGAATTGCAGATATATGAAGGACTAAGGAGTAATTTTTAAATTTATGGCTAAGGGGTCGTGTTGTGTGATCAATGTACAAGTCATTCTGGGTCACAATGTTGTAAGTTTATTTATTCTTGGTGTCCTTAATAATTTCATGAGGCCACACGTTGCTAACCGACTTTGTTCCTTAGCGATTGTTGGAGCGACCAGAGCTAGGAGCGACCATTGTTTCCATTAAAAACTTCATCATCCCCATCGATGATGCACCGACTCTAGCTATCCGACATTGATTCTTTCACCCCACTAAAGGCACAACAAATATGAGATCAGCATTAGTAAAGGAGACACAGACAAAGGCATAGCACCTAGATAGAATCCCACATCATTTGACTGAGATTAGCCTTGCAAGCTAAAAGGTACACTTTGATGTCACAATATTTATATCTCCAAGTTTTTAGTGAAAAGCCTGTCAGAATAGTCACTTCTGAAATTTACATTAGTTGCTACATTTGGTTACCTAATAAGTCAATTTCAAAGTTTTTATTTCATGCACGGGTGGTTGAATTGGTTTTCTGAAGGCAATTTTTTATGACGAACTGGTGGTTTGATGATGGTCAAACACTGAAACAAGTATGAGACCAGTCCAGATTGGACAAATTCCTATGCCACCCAGGGTCAGATCATTAGAACCAAATGCAAATATTGTCTGGACCATCACGTTGGAGCGTGGAGTAAAAATTTCTCACCCTGGTGCATTGTTGTGTAATTGTCAGTCTTAGACCAACAAATAACAAATGATGTAATAGCAGAATTCGAGAAATGTTCCCGATTAAGAAACAGTGTTGTATTTTACCTCTATTGAAACTGAGTGAATCTAGGCTCCAATAACTCCATATTCTAGTTGGCAGCTTAGATACTTGGGCGAAAAAAGTCTCGAACTTCATAATGTGGTCATGCTAGATAGTAGAGACAAACAGAAATGGATAATAATTATAATATGAGATCCTTTGAGGCAATTACTCTCCACAACGCGCATGTTTTGGATTTTAATGGATGGAAATAGGTTGGAATGTTGGATTAGTTGGGTTGCGGACCTGCGATAACCTATGTTGCACGGATACGTAGATACGCAAATACGGGTATGGCGATACGACAATTTTAAAAATTATAGGATACGGGTACGGGGTATATATATAAATAATAATAATATAGGGTATAATTTGCAAATATATATAGTTTAGAGGTTCATAAATAAAATACTAATAGTACCAAAAATTAACAATTACAACAAAATTTTAAAGATTACGCTAAAAGGACTAAAATATTGATATTTCGATTTAAATTCAAATAATATTGTTGATTCTCCATTTGTATTTACATCAAGTCATTTAACGAGTTTGGCTTCAATTAAAACTCATTAAGCAACAAAAATGTCAAATTATAGTATTCCAATATTTTTCATACTCCCGAAATCATCTTTATCAATGTTTCACATTTTTTGCTCTCTTGGGCGGTTACTAAATTTTTGTCATGTCGTGTATGAAATGAGCGCTATAGGGTCAGATACGTGTATCGGTTCACGAATATGGGTATCAGAAGTATTAGTATTTTTAAAAATAAGCTCAATACTTTTATTAAATTATGGATACAGACCGTACATGACACATATCGGTGAGTATCGGTATTGGACACGTATCGAATAGTGGATACGTGAATATGCCATCAGGGTGAAGTATCGGTGCACCATAGACGGTAACCTTAAGTTTGATCTAATTAAAATTGAGTTTGGTTTTTAATACAAACTAGTATATCACCCATGGCTTTTAACCCAAACTAGTATATCACTCATGCGATGCACGGTGTGAGATGTTGCCCAAATTAATTATTAACTATTTTTATATTAAATAAAATATAATAAGTTGATACAAATATATTGTAAGATCTTGTATAACATGAGACAAGATCCAAAATAATTCTCAAGTATTTTTGTACATAACATTTATGTTCTAATCAGATCAACTCTGGTCAATGATTTGAAAGAAGAACTTTGAGACCACTATGTTCATTGCGTTAGACATAGCGGTGGAAATATTTGTTTTATGTTTGAAGAAACAAAATTAAACATAAAATATTTTTTAATTTTAATATTTATCATCTCTAATACGTACTTTTAAAAGGATAATGTGTGAAAAGACTGCAAGAATACTCAAGTAGGTATTTCCATGTGTTAATTTTTAGTATATTTTTTAGTAAAAGATAAGTATAATTTATATGTATGGACATCTCATAATTGAGCAGCTTGATAGCCTTTTGAGTGGAGTTTGAATTTAATTGGAGCTTAATTTAATTTGAGTCAAGTTTAGTTAGTATTAATCAAGTTAGAATCGAGTCAACTAATATGGTTGGTTACCTCTTGTAGAACATCATAACCACAAGTGGTTAAACATTAAAAAAATGACATATGTACACTTTTGTACACATGGGATCAAAACAGGTGATTGGTAGTTATTGTATATCAAATCACATACAAATATATGTATGCGAATGGATTCATATTATATTAAAAAGTACTCCCTCCGGTTCGTATTAAAGTTTTCACTTTCCTTTTAGGGATGTCCCTTATTTAAGTTCATACTTCCATTGTAGGAAACAAAATAGTGCAAAAACAGTGCCAAACAGTGTCAAACAGTCTCCAAACAGTGCCAAACAGTGCCAAACAGTGTACTCTACATAAAGTCAAATTTATTTTCTTAATCTGTGTGAAGTCAAACTGGGAACTTTAATAGGAACCTGAGGGAGTACGTAAGTTGTTCACACAGGCATCAACTATCGCGCCACTCACATTTGTTTTGTCAAATAATTTATAGAGATGTCTATGTCTAATACGTAGTATACATTTTTTGTTTGTGACAACCATTATCTTGTTTGGGGCTGTACAAATTTATAGAGATATCTATGTCTATAATATACTTTCTCAATCAAAGTCACAAACAGTGCCAAACAATGTCAAAACAGTGTACTCTACAGTAAAACTTACCTCTCAGTAAATTTTTTTCCTTAATTTTTGTAAAATCAAAGTGTGACTTTAATTGTGAAACGGGGGAGGGAGTACATTTTTTGTTCGTGCCAACCATTATCTTGTTTGTATGAGCACGTTAAAAATGTTTATACATCTAAAAAAATTATATTATGATAAAAGTATAAAATTTACTGCGTATAACTTAAAAAAATATAATAATCAATATACTAAAGTTTTTAGAGTTGGAGAAAGTGTTTGATATGTTGGAAAATTACTAATATTAGTATCAGTTTTTACTCCATCTCAATTTAAGGGTCTCACCTATTGATTGACAATTTGACATAATATCTTAATTAATCTTAATATTATTTATTGACTGACCTACGATATCTTAATTAATCTTTATAACTCAATTCCAGATACTCGAGTTCGTCTGAAAGCAAACCACAAAAAATTACCCTATAAGTTTGAAAGCAAGCCCTTTAAGTCTAAACACGCTCAATCATAGGTACTTATACAGTACTCCCTCCGTTCCCAAAAATACTTCCCACTTTCCTTTTTGGGCTGTTCTCAAATATACTTCCCACTTTCCCATTTTGGACAATTTGTGTGGCTCACATTCATTTTACCTTTTTCTTACACATCCACAACCATACATTTCCACTTTATTCCACTTTCTTAATAAGCGTGTCAAGTCAAACCGGGAAGAATTTTTAGGAACGGAGGGAGTATTTCAATTCATATGATCGCTGCGAGTGACATTATTTTTCTATACACACCTACCGCAACGTGCTTGCATTGAAAGCTAGCAATTCCTTAACAAGGTAACAATGAGACGTCGACGCTGTTTACAGTCACGAATTCACCGTTATACTTTGGTACCATCGTAACCGCGACATTTTTATCAAGTTCAAGCCCCAGATCCTCAAGTAGTTCAGTGATGGCCAGGCTGTACGTCGTCGTCTTCGGTTGGTTTTCATTTGAATTCTCATGAATGTGAGCCAGGTTGGCGAAACTTCCCAGGTACTCGGCCCGATCCAACTCGGACACCTTCAAGAGACTGTCTTCGTTGAGAAACACGTCGAACCTGATGTACTTGGTTTCATCATATGTTAAGCTCAGATTCAATAGTTCCTCCATATCTGCTTTCTCTGCCTTTGATCTCGATGTCTTCGGCCTCATCACATAAAACGTTACAGTTTGTTGTAACGTTGTTGGTAAGATGTTAATGGCCAAGGGAATAGATATTTTGGTGCTTCTGGCTGACTGTGTCTTCTTTTTTGATGTTGGTCTGGATCTCATCCATTGGGTGGGCATATCCTAGCTTGTACAAGTTCAAAATTTATGTTCATAATCATAATATATTCTAATTCATAACAAAAATTTGAATAACAAAAACTATTTAACCTACAAATTAAACGAATGACAAAAAGCTGGATATATGTAGTGCAAAGGTATGTTTCTTTGTGTATTCCAAGGTTTTCAATTCGCCCATTCTTGCATGGATATCATTATGATCAGTAGGGTCTGGCTTAATTGTTAGACTTAAAAAGATAATGGGAAATTGTCCTAACTAGAACTAAAAATGTTTGTATATATCAAAATAGTATTGTCATGCATTTGTTTTCTAAATAAGACTAATTACTACTATTTGTTGGCAGTGTAAGACTTTAAACATGACAATATTTTTCAAACCTTGCAGTAATTACTTATTTAGAGAATAAAAACGTCAAAGTCCTATTTTGAAATTTTCAAATGTGTTTACTCATATTTCGAGAGTTTTCCCAATCATCATGTAATTTACTTAAAAAGTTGACAAATTAAATCCTTTCAATAAACTATAAAGTTTTACACAAAAATCATTTAATTAAACAACGTGGTAACACACGATCCGATGAGTTTTATATCTTATGAATTCTTGTACACTTTAAATCTTAATAGCCTTAATTATGTAATAACGCATCATATATACTTAAAATAAGCATATTCTTATAAATAAACAAATAATATATACAAATACATGCATATATCTCCAGCTATTAAATTGAACGAGCTAAACGAGCAAGCTTCAAATATGGACCAACTCTGACTTAGGAAAGTTTCAAGCCTAAGTTATTTACTAAAGAGGCCGGACCAAGACAGAGCTAACTGCCTAACACAAGCCAGGCCCCATGCCTGCAATAGGCTGCTAGGTTATATGTCTATATTCATATATGCCCAGTGGGGTATCCAGAGAATTCGGCCAGTGGGGCAAATTTAAACTAACATTATCACACAATTTTTAGGAAAGAAATATTAATTAAAAAATCCACAGTTTATTAAAAATAAAATAATTTTTTATGAGAAACAAATGAAATATTTATTTATAAGTTTATAACTAATTTAAGTTACAAATACACAAGTATGTTTTAATGCTATGTGAGAAAAGATGTGATTGAAATTACAAAATAATAAATTATTTTAAAGTAATTTTTTTATTAAGTACAAAATCAAATATATAAAAGAATTGGATAAAATATGTAACTATAAGTGCTTTAAGTTAGAATTAAACAAATTTTAATATTAAGTGTGAAAAGATGTTATTAAAATTACACACTTGGTATCATTTAGTAGCTACATTAAATTTTTTTAAATGAAATCTTAAATTTAGATGAATTTTAAACAGTTGTAATAGGGCAAAAAAATAAATCATCAAGGTCAGAAGCTGGGAAGATTTGAACACCTAACCAAAGAGCAAAACGTGTAGCACTCTATCCAGTTAGCTAGTACGCCAACTTTGTCATTTTTGATATATGTATATATATATATATATAAGACAATAATATATATACACAAATAAAATTTGATGTATGTATGTATATATATATATATATATATATATATATATATATATATATATATATATATATATATATATATATATATATATATATATATATATATAAAATGGGGTAAGGTTGGGGTTGAGTGGGGACAGCTGCCCCTGCTCCCACGTTAGATACGCC